AGTGTTGTGGAGCATATTTTCATATAAAAGGTAATTGTTCTGCTTTGTTGTCATTTTGGCGGAACCAGGGATTGAACTCAGACCCCTGTGCTTGCCAGGGAAGTGCTTATTCTACTGAGCCATCTCCCCCCACTACAAAATGTTTTATAAGCATTCACTAACTCCCAGAAAAAAAGTATATTCACTTCCACAATTCTAGATTTGGTACAACATGAAATAATTTTTTTTCCCAAATTCAACTAAATTTTATTCAATGATTTCTTTAGGGGCAGGATGCATACTCAAATTGTTATATGTGAATCTATTACATAATCAGGCTATTGGAAGGACACAGGTAGGATTGGTGGGATTATTTGTCACATGTGATTCAGGAAACCAAGAGCAAGTCACCTAGTTTATCACCCTATACAACAAAGTAATTCTACACAGAATTGGCTCATTTTCAATTGCATATCTATGTGACTCCCTCTATTAAAAAAACAAGGAAGACTTTTCACCATTTATAGAGCTGGAAAATTCTTTAATATTGTGGAGGAAAAAAAAGCATAACCTTGCATCTCAAGTTACAATGCCTTGAAAATGGGTTGCAAGTATAAAATGAAAGAAGTTCTAACATACATGATTACTGGCAATTATAGGAATATACAAAATTCTTCTAACCTGTTTTCAATTCCAGAGTAAAACTGAATTAAGTTGCTTGAAACTTCTTTAAAACTAAAATAATAAAATAAATTACTTGTTCTGTGTAATCCATAAATGCCAGATTAAAGTGTGATCAGCAATCCGTTTATTCTGAGACTGAAACTAAAAGGAAGCCCTAGAGCAAAAATTTCTTCACTAATAAAAATAGTACTTCCACATTAATTGCTAAAGGAATCTTGTCAACATCTCTCTATAATATTAATATAGTTCAAGGCGATGGTTTACTGAAAAATTTGGCAAGCCAAACTTGCATGGCTAAAATAAATATAGTGTCATGTGACCTCGTCTCCCAAACACTGGAATTTTGACCTTAAGTGAAGCGTTCCCAGTTCTAATGCTGTAAATACTTTAGCTGAACAAACTATCAAACTATCAATTATCACAGAACGTGGTTGTGCCATGTAATGTATGGACCCTATACAACTATTTAGCATGCGATGATTTAATTCAACAAATATTTATTGTAGCTACCAGAGCTCAGTTTCAATACCAGAGAATAAAGATATGAAGGTGACCAAGACCAACACAGTGTTTCTCCTCAAAAAGCTAAGACAAACAGAGACTACAAAGAACAGATATTCAATAAAAAAAGTCATTATCCAAGAGCATAGAGAAGCAAGGGTATTTATAAATGGATGGAATCAGTAAAGGCCTTTTATTGGAAGTTTAGAGCCAATGTCTTTAAAATAAAAATATTCAATGCTATGGTAATATAATTCTAATTCTGTAGGCTCCTGCTGTTTATTCTGATCAGTTAAACTATTCTTATAGCAAGCCAATATTTATGTCAGGCTATACTCTGTGTAACATATATGCTTTTTAAAAGCTTTATAAATCAAAAGTTCTTAGCTATTGTTTGAAACATCTCTCAGAAGATGTAACAGAAAAATATGTATAATATTTAAATTTTTTAAAAATTTAGGGGCCGGGAGACAGCTCAGTGGAATGGGTGCTCGCCTGGCAAGCGCAAGGGTCTGTGTTCAATCTCCGGTTCTGCCAAAAAAACAAAACAAAATAAAAAATTTACTACAATAAAACATACGTTCGCATTAGTCTCCCTCAAAAGACTGCTCCTGATCCCACTATTCTTGCCACTTTCTGAAGTCATTCTGGAAATCTTTCTTTTTTAAGTGTCTTTAGTTGTGCTGTTGTGACTCTCTCAGTGTACTTGGATTCAGAAGGCTCACCTTGTACGATCATTTTGCTTTTGTGGAAGAGCCGAAGGTGTACAGTGTTAGATCTCATGCTTAAGGTAGATGGTGAATGAGGACACATGGTAACATTTTTCCAAGCAGTAGCATTCACTGTGTTTTTCTGACTAGACCTTGTAAAGACATTCATGAAAGAGGACTTCCAGAACTGCTTCAGAAAGTGGCAAGAGCAATGGGATGAGTGTGTTCAAAGCCAGGGGGATTATTTTAAGGGAGATTAATGGTAATCCATCTTTCACTGTAATAAATATTTTTATTATGTTCCCATCATATTTTCATATTTTCCAATCACTGCTTATATACCACTACAGAAAATTAAAATAAATACTATAAACAGTAGCACAGGTTTAAAATAATATTTTTGAAAAGTGGCAGATTAACCCTGCCTCTTTCAACTACTTAGTTCCGAACCACACCAAAAACACAGTAAAGGACTAAAAAAGGCATCAATATACTAAGAATAGGAAAGAGAAAAGGAGATTAAGTCAGGAGAATTCGTTAATTTTTGTAAAACTGATGATAGAAGAGTGTTAATTGACTTATATGTGCAAGGTCATGATGTGGGTACTGAGATCAAATGGAAATAAGATATAAAACCCAAGAAAGGGTATGGCTTTGAAAACAAAAAGACCTGCAAACAGACTATTAGAAAATAATATGTAAGTATACTCTAAGATATTCCTCCAACACAGATACTCTTATACATACATACATACATACATACACACATATGTGACTGCATCCAGATAACTACCTTTCTCACCTCTCTTATTTTTTGGAGATGCTCAATGATACCAAAGAAAAACTGCCAGAAAATACTAACATCTGGGTGGTGTTCTAATGAAAAGTTTGGATCACTAGATTAAAAGCCATATTCACTTGGGCATGGTGGCAAACACCTGTAATAACATCACTCAGGAGGAAGAGGCAGGAGAATTTCATGGTTGAAGCTAGCATGGGCTACACACTGAGTTCAAGGCTCTCCTGAGCTACACAGAGAAAACCCTGCCTAGAAAAAGGAAAGAAGGGACAGAGGCAATGAGGGAGAGGCAAAGAGAAGCCATATTCACTTACAGAGCTTTTTTGAGTAGTTTTCAAATAATATTTGAGCAACAATGACAAATATGTGAAGGAAACTACAAAACAAAAGCGAGAACATATAAAATCAAACAGGAAAAATAATCTAGAGGAAACAAAGCGATGCACAAAGGAGAAGGCACAGCAAAACTATAATTTATATCCTAATAGGGAAACTATAGCAGCCATGAGACAGAATATAATACATGAGAATACAAAACAGGTCTTTGAATTAAAACACTAGAATAGGTGAAATAGTTCAGCAGGATATTAGAAATAAACAAGAATGTTTTTCTTAAACACTAAAACTGGGGTATAATAAAGATTAGCATTGGAATTAAAAGTTTTAAATTTAGAATAGCAACACCAGAGAAAAAGAGAAAATATATCAAATAAATCGTTGAAGAAAACTTTACACAAAACTTTAGATATAAGTTTTCATATTGAAAGGCCCCTTAGGTACTTAGCACAATCAATGAAAAAAAGATCTTTACTGTAAAAATTTCTAATATAAGGAATAAATAGATATGTTTTGACAACTAAAATGTAATGCAGGAGAATTGAGAAGGGTAAGGTACAAAACTTTAGTATTATATTTGATTTTACAACCAGGTACAGAAATTTTTATATATACTAAGCAGTAAATATATAAGTAAATAAAAATAGACAATAAATGAGTAGAATAAAAAATTCATGGAATGTTTATTACAAGGCAGGCATACCAATTCTGTTTTAAATATACTGCACTAACTTATTTAATTTTCATAATGGCCTATGAGCCAACTTCTTTTACAGGTGAGGAAACAGGTATTGAGAGTAAATCTGTCCAAAATGACACTAGTAAACAGTGGAACCGGCACCCTACCTTTCAAAAAAAATTTATGAGTACTACATGTTTGAAGTATATGTTTCTATCTTGGGAAGTTTTAAAACTGCATGATGCTATCTCTAAAATAAAAAAAAAATTAAAAGTGTTGCTTACCTTGTTAGTCTTTTCCTAAATGAACTACAGTCAAAAGTTCTGACTTGGTCAACCACCATACAAGCTGGATGCTACTCCCTAATCCAAGACAGTGCATTGCAGGGGCGGGGGAGAAGGGGGTTAGAGAAAGTTAAAGGTATCTGGTAGTATTGTAAGTATTATATATAAAGGTGATGTGCTATGATTTACTGCTAGAAGGTCAGTAGATTCCCTCATTTAAATGCATTAACAACCTGTACCAGAAGTGATGCACCTGGATCACTACTGTGTCTTCAAGCAAAGCATGAGCGATATAAAATTTTATTGAAGTTAGAAACAGCAATGTTACTTTTAAAAGAAATTTTTATCTAAGTCATTCACAATCTTCTTGCAAGGAAAATTTCCCAGTTAACTACTAACAAAGAGTGTGACCAAAACTGCCCTTTTCCTCACTCTTGCCTACTCTCATCTCTACCTCAAACGCACATAATAACCCTTGAACAGTTCTCTACCTTAGCTGTCTACCCATTTTGTGATGTACCATACCCAATTATAGAATTTTGTTCTTACTGGGGATATACTTTTTAAATAGATTCGTTCGCCTTTTTCATTTTGGAAGTATCTTTCCTTTGACCTACAGCTTTAGCATTTGTTCTCTTGGGATTTCCATACACTTCTGCGACATCAGAGCACCGCTTCAAAACTCCAGGATCACTTGCTCTTGTCCTGCACCTACTGGACATTCTTTTCTCTGGTGCAGGCAGCCCACCACTTTCCACCTGTGTGCCCTTCCTTTCTGAATTCCCGCCTCAGGGCGTGGAAAGTTGACAGGAGAGGTCCAGGTGCGCCAATGACAGCACCACCATCGCCTTCCCCGCACTCAGGTGACAGGCCCCCGGGCGGTCTGGCCGAGGAGGACCCACGCACGGTTTTGGCGCTCACAGGGCCTGCACAGGAGCCCGGCGCCCCCGCCAACCGCGCACAGGTGCGACAGTGCGACCCCTGGCAGGCGGCCGCGTCGCCTGGCCGCCCCGCGCCCGCGCTCTTACCGTCTCCTTGGCAGCGGCGACTGGGATGGGCAGCAGCCCCCGGCCGTGGGGCGCGTCCTCGGACTCGGCGGCCGCGCTCTCCGAGGGGCGGCCGGGCAGCAGCGCGCGCCGGGGCTCGGCCCTGGGGTCCCCGTAGAGCTGGTAGCACACGAGGCCGACCAGACCCCCGCCGGCCGCCGCCGCGATGCTCAGCTCTCCCCAGCGCCGCCGCCGCCGCCGCCGCCACGCCGCCTCCGCCACCGCCCGCTCCTCATCCTCCCTGCAGGAGAAGGCGCGGCCCGGCCCGGCGGTCCCCGCAGGCCGCTCCCACGGCCCCAGGAAGGGCTGGTGAGAGGCCAGCGTCGGCGGCAGCCGGGGTGGCGGCCACAGCAGCCTCCGCAGCGCAGCCATCGCGAAGCCGCGGGCAGCGGCGCGGGGGCGGGGGCGCCGGGGGAGCGCGGCGAAAGCTCGCGAGAAGTCGGGCGTGCGGGAGCCTCGCCGCAGCCAGAGCGCGACCAGTGCGAGCGCGACCCGCTGCCCTTGGCGCGCCGGGGCGGCCGGAGCCCGGGCTCACCCCGCGGGCGACGGCGCCCGCAGGCTGTCCTTGGCCCTGCTTCTCCAACCCGACTGCACAGTCGTAAATAACCGCGCTGGCCCCGGGCCGCGCCAGAAGCCGGCCCCGCGGCGCACTGCTGGGTCAGCGGAACGAGGCCTCCCGGCCTGCGAGCCGCCCGCCTAACGGCCTCCTGCTTGGCGCAAGGTCGTGAATCCTTTACAGTCTACGTTTACGAGGACAAGCAAGATGAGGCGCAGAGCTGCCGTTCAAGGCACAGATGTTGCCATTGCTAAGTCATGGGGTGTTCCCTGCAAGGTGCTAGTGTGAGGACTTTAGATAAAGGAAAGCAAATAATGCTGGTTTGTTGGTTACTATTCCAAGTGTGTGTGTCTGGGGGGCGGCGGGTTGGTGGTGGTAATGGGGAGTTGAACCGAGAGCCTTCACACTGAGCTGTATCTCTGGCTTTTAACATTTTTTATTTTGAGACAGAGTATAAGACCGTAAATTGCCCGGTCTGAGCTCCTAATGTCAATCTTCCTGCCTGGGCCTCCCAGAAGGCGGGGATTTGTTTAGCATATCTGTGATTACACGACGAAGCAAATCAGAACTATCTTAAGCGTGTGAAAGGAAGGAGTTAAAATATTAAACACTAAGAATAAAGACAAAATCTTGAAACATACCTTCGCTTTTGGGGGAAGGTGTTGGTATAAATATAAAGTAAGGATTTGTAAGCATATCATGTCCTTATTTTTTGTGATTGCTAAACTTTATTTGCTGCATGGTCAGAGCAGTTTTATGAGAAAGTTTATATAACATTCTTAACAGCTTCTCACTGCTAAGCCCTTTTGGTTGTTGAGTTATGCTAGCTTTAGTGTTCATACTATGGAGTGGTATCAACTTTAATACTTTAAAACTAGGGGTGTAGACAACTAAGTCCCTTATGGGTGGCTACAGTTGGGCTACAGTGTCAAAGGAATATGATCAATTATGTCAATCCTAAGAAAACCAAGTGATTTCAGATGCAATCAAACAAGTTTTATGACCCAGACCCTGCTAGTCCTATTCTTTCCCAACCTTTTGCCTTATACCTTATTAGATATATCACTGTACCTCTTGTTTGAAAATTGGTCAATGAATTTTTCTTTAAAGCTACTAAAAATAGTGAAAAGAAACATCTATGACATAGGCACTAAATATCTATTTTAGTATGTAATCTCTTTTTTTCACATAAACTTACAGTTTTTATGCAGTCAATTCCATAAAGGTAGACTACACAGTAGCTGCTTTGCTTTATCAACAACTTTCCTTTAATTTCTACTTTCTTTTTTATTTATTAGATTTATTGAGAAAGAAATAGCAATGAGACAGTTTCAAAACAGGTTAATAAGACAGTTATATTACATTACATATTGTCTTCGTAGTAGTTATTCATAGTACAAGATGCAGACATGATATCTTGTCTAAACATTAATTTCTACTTTCTATGAATTCTGAAAATTTTGGTTTTCCAAGACCATTTATTATTTTGCATGTCTATCAGTGGCTCTGGAAACTGTTTTTTGTAAATATAAAAATTGAAAAACTTACTGTGTCCTCTTTATTTTTGTGTTTGTTACATTTTGAGTGGTTTGTTACACTTGGGTTGTTATGCTCAAGGCACTGAGCAACTCTTCTGCTTTTAACAGATTTTCCTGCTTTGGATGATTTATATCATGCTCTTTGCCTTATCTAAAACTAAGTTGTATCTAAGCAATGTGAAGCCAGACCACTTATGTAGTCCAGTCCAACTCCTGGCACACAACAGGACCTCAGTAATGGTAATTAGCATGAGGGAAAATTATTGTTCTGGGGGGCTGGTAAGAAAAGAATTGAGGCCAAGATAAGAAGGCAAATCAGTCAGCCACTAAAGGAATTGATAGAACAAACAGCATCTCTGGAAGTGCAGTCAGATCCAGTGGGGGAAGTAAGGAGAAATAAAGGTTTGGCAGGGAAAGATTGCTGACAGAATGTGCTCATGAAGAAGGGTTCATTCAAGATTTGTGATTTTGACTTAAGACTATCCTCAAATGTTATTTGGCAGAACCTTGTTTAACTTGCCCTTTAAAGTTTAGTCCTTTTTGTTCTGTGGTCAGGAAGTTCACAACCTACTGTCAGAGGTCACTGCCCCAACTGGCCCCATTTTCTTTTTGGTTCTTACATCTCCCACTGGTGATAATAACAAGTTATCAGTTGCATGCGTTTAACAATATAGCTTCAAGACTAGTAATACATTGACCATCATATTTATCCAATCTATTTTTATAGAGCTTCCAGAGTATTTGCTGATGGCTCTTCACTGTTCAGTTCCTGTTTAGGTCCTCCAAAATCCTCTTTCTTTGTCTGCCGTTTAGTGGTAGGAACTTCTTATCTTACATATTTTGAAACAAAGAATTGCAACTTGGAGTTGTTGTTACCAAAGCATCTTAGCTAAAAACACATGAACCTTTTCTCAAATGTCATAACCTGTTTTCATATCTGATAGTGATTAAAGCTTCCATAATTATCCAAAGGTGACCCAGGGTGCTTCAACAAGAAGTTTATGTAAAATAAAAAATATATTCCTAATTTCTTAAATTCATGTGTTAATTTGCTAGAGAACTTTGTGCAACTATGAACTATATAAGTTAGGAATATACAGAGCTTGAAGTGAGTTGAGATAAGAATAATAAGGTAGGGCTGAGGAGATAGCTTGGCAGTCTAAATGCCTGCTGGGCAAGCATAAGGACTTGGGTTTAATCCCTGGTAACACATGATGTGCCAGTCCCTGAATGCTAGATGTGCTGTGCTGGCCACCAAAATCCGGTGTCATGGTGCACACCTGTAATCCCAGTGCTGGGAAGGGTGAGACAGGATCACTATGAGTCTGACCTGTGTAGCGATACCCTGTACCAAATAAAAAAAAAATTAAAAAGTAATAGGGTAAATTGAAGAATTGGAAATGAAAGGCCTAAGAGCTTAAGCTTTTTTTTTTTAATTTTAAGGAAGGGTCTAGAGGATGTTCAGGGTCTCACAACTAGATCAGACTCATAGAGATCTGCCTGTTTATAGCGTCCCAAGAGCTGGGATTACAGGTGCCTGCCACCACGCCCAGTCTCAATTGCCCCCTCAGTGTGCCCTGGGGCTGGGCCCAGCATGGCAGGCCCAGGGATTGAGCCCCTGGCCCCTGCACCTGCAAGCAGGTACTTTAATCTGCTGAGCTATTTGGCCAGCCCAAGAATCTCATACTTCTTCTTTTTTTTTTTTTTTGCGGAACCAGGGATTGAACTCCAACCCTTGTGCTTGTGCTTGCTAAGCAAGCACTTACTCTACTGAGCCATCTCCCCGGCCTGAGTCTAAGAGCTTTAACTAAAGAATATCTTAGTGTCATTTAGTACCTGGGAACTCCGAAAAGATGCTTAATAACTATTTTTCTCATTTACTAAAGATAGACCAAAGGACTTAGTACTTAAGCATATAACCTAGTCCTGTATCTTCCTTGATTTGTAGCACTTTCTCCTGTGAAATGTCCATATGGACAGGCCCAGTAGGTGCCAGGTCATAAGTCCTAGTGCAACCAGCACATACTCTTGTCTTTGGCTCCTACCCCAAACTGTCAGGTGTTAGATAGGAAATTGCTTTAAGGGCAGATAATCAAACAGAAGGGCAACCTTCAGAACAGATGGATATCTCAGCATAAAGAGGGTGCCATTAGAGACATCAATAATACCATAAGGTAAGTCAGTGTCCATACATGGAGAAGCGTAGCAGGATGGCTACCAGTATCATCTCCTGCCAACTCCAGTTGATTGCTGTTGGTTACCCAGGACACCAGCATAAGCAAAAATTCCAGGCCAGACTCAAAATTCACCGGAAGAAGTAGATGAGTACATCTGCTATAAGCAGGCCACTGGACTGAGTCTGCAATGAATTGTATAGTTTTACTGTGGTTTCTTTTAAATTTCAAATGGAGATGATGCAGATAATAGCAGGAACAAAAAAGTTTAAATATTTCTGTGATATGCATAAAATATTTTGTGTTTGCATTGCAAAGTCAGGATATTGAAAAGGATTTGGAGATAGAATGGAAAATTTTAAATCTTTTAAATAATTTTTTAGGAGATAGGGTAAGGAGTGCTTAGTGGAAATTTTCAAAAGATCTCATACAAAGACCCAAAATATAAGGCAGATAGCAGCTGGTCCCTCAATGAAAAAGGAGGTCTTCACCTTGTCTATTTAAAGCCATTTTTAAACTCCTCTAGTGGAGGTTTAAGTACTTCTCTACAATTGTAAAGTTTAAAAACTAAAATGTAAAACTGAAAGTCTATCAGATTGAAGACATTTCAATGGGCTATTCAAAACTTGAGACTATATATTTGGCCTACATTTGATAGTTTCTATGCTGGAGTCATCAGTTTTTATTTTTCAAGGAACAGGATAGTAAACGTATTTGCTCAAAAGACATATTTTAAGGATAAAATCTTACAGAAGCCAAAGAAAGTGATACTAGGGGATCTTGGAAAGTACAGTTAAGTCTGCTTTAATACAGTAAGATTTTAAGGATATTTATTCTCTAACATGGCTATTAGCATGACTTGGCTTTCATCCACCAATCTCTGAGTCTCCATTCAAATTCTAAAGAGACGCATTACTTGGTCTGTGTAGATATTTCTACCTTTTTAGTTTTTCATTTCCAGGCCTATCACCTGTCTGAAAGAAAGGCATAGAGTTATATGGAGATGGAAGCAGAAAGGCTTCCCTTAGAAAGCCCTGTGGGCAGGGACCAGTACTATGATGATAAAGGCTTAAAGAGTGCTTCTTCTAGAGAAGAGACGGTGGACTCTAATTTGTAGCATTTGCAAATTTCCATATCTAAATACCGCTACTATAGTGATATCAAGCTATCAACATGATGGAACTGAGTACAAAGCTGTAAAGAAATGCATGGTAATATGTTTTATATGGTAGTTTCCACTATATAAGACAGATATAATAGGTGATAGCAAAATAATTGGACAGCAATGAATTTTAAGAACACTACTAAAATATTACAATAAGTACAAAAGTTATAACTTGCCTTTATATTTTCACTTTGGTGATATAATACTTCTAACAAACTCTTATATTTAATATACTTCAAGTTAATCATGTTGTATTCTTTCCTAAAAGTAATAATTGAATAATTTAGATCACTACATAGTAGTTTATTTCAACAAAATAAATTGGTTTGTTTCAAACATCAGAGTTTAATCTAAAGACAAAGTTTGAAAACATAGCTGTTCATAAATTCCTTAGTAACTGAAGCATATCAAACCTCTTCCACTTAAAATATGATGGCATTTTTTCCAGGATGGTTTCAAACCTTATGTTTGAAACTGCAAACTTCAGATTACCACATCAAAGGAAATGAAATGAACCTTTCACCTGATAAGACTTTCTAGAAAACTACTAAATAGACTACTTGCATCATCATGCATGTGTATGAGTTTATTTGAACAAATTATTCCAGAATAAGGCATTCTGTTCCTCCATCCTTTCAGTGTTGTAAAAGGAAACCATATTTGATTAGGATTTTGTTGTGTATTGTAGTGTTTGCTTCAGAGCATTTGCTTTGGTCAGAATCTGTGCAATGGAGACCTATATACTCCGATATCTAGAACTAATGATTAAACTTTTGTTTATGGCCAAAGACATGTTATACTGATTTATTAAACACCAAGGCACCTGTGAAGAGTTTGTCCCTAAGGGGGATTTTACATATAGGAGAATAACAACAGTGATACAAAACTCAAGGTCATTATCTAAACCAGGTGCATTTTCAAACTAAGAATGAACCAAATGAAAAAAAAAAGAGCTGAAAGTTGTACCAATATAATAATTCATCAATTTAAGTCTTATAACAATGAAAATATGAAAAATAAATTTCAGAATATGGTATGAGTTCTCTATTTCCAGTCTGTTTATTAAAATTAAAATTTCTTTGCTTCTTTGATAATTATGCAGGACTTACATGACATTTGACTAGAACTCTACATAGAGATATGCAGCTCTCAGAGATGGGAGAGTGATCTTAAGGGTAGTCACTTACCCTTATGTATCTCTGTATTGAACTCTAGCTGTATTGAACTTTAACTTTAAAAGTGGTATTTGTATAACATATTATAGTTTGAAAGCTTACACATGCTATAATTGGGTTATATTAGAATGAAAAGTATGTTATATAAGAATTCATATAATGACAAATGAGAACTTTCAGCTACATCAACAGAAATATTGTATATGACAACTTCAGAACTCATATATGTATAAAATGTTTTCTTTGTTTTGATATATCAGTAGGTAAGTTTATAATTACAACCCCTAAT